ATGACTTTATTTAGTGTGGCTGTAATAGAAATTTAAAGTAAAAAACATGAAAGAAGTCTTAAAAATACCCTCAAATGATTTTTCTGCTTACAGCTTTCAGGATTGAAAGAAATTATAGCTTTTCAAAGCCTTTAAGGCAAAAAAACCAAATCAAAATACCCATGTGTTTCATGGGATGAATCTCCTATAGTAAGAAAAACTGTAAAGTTTTTTCTTGTGAAGTACTTGAGACTAAAATAGTAGTAGTAGGCTTGGTTGTGACTTTGTGCCTACATGTCCTTGTTATGCCACATCATGTTGTGTCGTGACATACCATGACATGGTATGATTTTTTTTTCATGATTTGCTTTTTTTTTTAACCCTTTTTTTCGCCGTTCTTCTTTAACAGTAGTCTGAGCTTTGGAGCAAGCCTAGTTAAATTCAGATGCTAACACCTGTAATTTTTTTTCTCTTCCTGTGGTTTTATTTGCTTCAAGTGATTGTCTAAGAGCGTTGTTACCACATTTCCTGTTTAAAGGCACAGTGAACAGTATAGAGTCAAAGGATATAGAAAGTTCACCCTTAAAAGGAACTATGTAGATGCCTTTTTAAAAAGAGCAGGCTGTTCTCAAGGTTTATAATTCATAAGTAGTTTCATTCTAACTGACTCTCCACAGCCCAGTTCATATTCCTGTTTGGATCAGTTAAGGTAAATGCTGTCTGACCTGCTCTATATCAATAAATGTGAAAAGCTGAGAGGGGAAATTGATGTCTTAGTTTACCTTTCCTTATTTCCTCCTCTCTGTATTTCTCACACAAAAGCTAGTAGTGCTTTAGTAAGAAAAATGGATAATACTGTAACAAAATGTGCTTTTCCTACTGTTCATTAATGCAGTGCTTGCACTTACTCTTTGCGAATGATATTTAACAATAAGCAGTAGTTTTTGGTTTTGCATTAGACCAGCCACTGTAGAATAAACCTTAGAGTAAAAAAAATTATTGGTATTTAATTTTAAATTTTAAACAATGTATTATCTTTAAAATCTTGATTTCTTCATACTTAGAATTTCTGTAAATGTTATGAAATTGATATCATAACTAAGGTATATAAGCCTTAAGATGCAACAAAGTTGCATTTCAGCCTGATAATCCTGTGTGTTTTTGTAATGTGAATCATCCACTCATTTTTAAAGTAAGTTGCATTCAGAGTTCAGAAAGTTTACACGGGAAAGGCAAATTGGTGTTTCACCACTCATCACTCTGATAAATTTCTGGTTCAGACAGAGTAATTGTCTTGTCTTTTCAGTGTGACCTCTACATTGTTCTGCCACTGTGAGCACCATAAACTCGGCAAAGAGCAAAACCAAAGGGTGGCAGAGCTGCTACCCTGAAGTGTGTTCTTCCACCTCTGTTGTGCTCTTCATTTGGCAAGTCTGCACTGACAAATGCAGCAGTGCTGCAAACGATGCCACATCGGGGTGGTGGGACACTGGCACAGGTTGCCTAGAAAAGTTGTGAATGCCCCACCCCTGACAGTGTTCAAGGCTAGGCTGGCTAGGCTGGATATAGGGCCCTGAGAAACCTGGACTGGTGGAAGGTGTTCCCATGGAAAAGAGGCTGGAACAAGATGATCCCTGAAGTCCATTTCAACCCAGACCATTCTATGGTTCTGTGATTCAAATCTTAATCCTATGAAAAAGCAGAGAGCTGGATGTGAAATGCTGCGTATATTTTGAGACCTCATTATTTGCAACTAGGCTTGGGGTGCAGTTCAAGCTTTGCAGGAATAATTCCCCATGAGATTGCTAGTGGGCTGATATTATATAATTACCTGACTAGAAGCTGTAGGCCACTGTGATTTTTTTTTTTCTTTCTTTATAACCAATAATTTTTAAAAGTACAGCAGAATTTTCCTGTTTCTACTTGTTCTTTAAACAAGCAACTTTCAGTGTAAGAAAAGTTCTAGTGTGTTGTCATTAACATCACAGCACCAATACGCCTTTTTACTTTCAGTTTAATTGCTTTTTTCCCATGTTGGTGCAACAAATCTATACCTGATATTTATATTAACTTGCTTCCTGTAAAAATAATTTGTTTAACAGACTGGGAAGGCGTAGGAAATTCCAGAAATTCTAACAAATACTATTAAGCATTTGTTTGCCTTTTAAGAGGTGCAGTTAATGTCAGTTTTCTCCAGACCGACTTCTCCAGACATACTGATGTGTCAACTCTATGTTTTAATTAAAAGTCAACAGATTGAAAAAGTGTTAGTGATTGCAGAACCACCAAACTAAAGGCAAATGTAGAACTTCACAGGTTATACAACTGAAAATACCTTTTTAAGAATAAACGTGTAATCAGAGATAATTATTTACAATCTTTAGCTTGGCTTTGTCATTCAAAAACTTTAGATCTAAGGCAGGGAGTCAGTTTTGACTGTTCCGGAGGTCACAAGTCGTGCTTGCAGATAGTGGCTGTGTAGGGCAAGACTTCTGCACCCTTGGGTATTCTGTAAACAGGAAGGGCTTTCCAGGTTCACAGGTGCCCACACGAGCCCTTCAGGTTTGTTCCCAGGGCTTCAGCTCAGCACAGTGCTCGAGCTGCAGTGAGCTGGAGGAGTGTGCCAGCAATCAGTGAGCAAACACAGAGGCAGATCAACAAAAGGAATCTCCCTGCCTTTCAGTGTATGTTTTCTGTACTTGGGTGTAACAGGCAGATCTAAGTTAGCCCTCTGTGAGAACAAGAATCTGTTATGTCAGTTCTGGACTTCGTCAAAAAGAGATTGTAAGGAAGCAACAAGTATCATAATTTTAGGAGTCACAAATCAAAATATTGGGGCACTTGCAGAGCAAGAAAAGCCCACTGCATGATAGCCACTTCTTGCTCAAGCAGCTTACAATATATCAAACTTCAAAATGCTAACTTTGAGTATTTGATTTCTAAATTTCTCATAATCTGAACAGCTAGCTATTGGGGGTGCATGGCTATGTTTCAGAACAACTTCACATTTCTATCTCAGAAGTAAATCAACCAGGTCTTAAGGAGACATAAGGTGTACAGACACTGCACTAGAATTGTCAAATGTTACATGCTTAACAGAAGTTAACTGTGTTTAATTCTGATTTTCTAACATACTGAATCAAATTTAGAAAAGAATTGTCCAGCTTGCAAATTCTGAGCCTTTAAAGAACAGAGTGTTTTTCCGTCAAGGTTTTCTTTGTAATTTCTTTGCTATGTTCTTGCTTACTTCTTGCTAAAGTTAATGAAATTTTCAGTCACCAGAATAATTGAGAAAATGGGTGTGAAGCCACCTAATTTGAGTGAGAACTTCCTTAACGACTTTTATTTTAATTCTTGGATTTCACACTACTGGTAGTTGAATCCCAAGTTTTATTGCAGTTTCTTGATTCATTCATGGAATTTAGATGGTGGTCTTTTTAGCAGGAAAAACATCTCTTAAGTAGTTAAAATATGTCATGTTAGCACTGTTCTAAGACCTTTTTTTTTTTGAATGCCTAACAAGCAAAAGGTTATGCAGAAGTATTTTCAGCACCGTGGGGATTGTTTGCTTGTTTAGGTTTCTTTCTTGCCCTCAAGGTATCTTGTTTAATAAAATAGCTTTGTTCTATATGGTGTTAGCAATAGGATAACCTAGCAAAGCATATTCCTCCTCTTCCTATTCTGATCTCTAAGCAAGGAATACCAGAAACAGGCAGATAAACCTGATTTTGACATTACCAATTGATTTTTCAAAGCTAGGAGGTACAAATACTTTGACTAGGGTTTTGCTATTTAGATGTTACTGCAGCATGCATTTGTTTCTCAAAGAGTTTCAGTTAGTGTCTTAAAAGCTAAGAAGTGTGAGAGCTTCCCAAAGGCTTTGGATATAGTATGGGAAAGGTTCTGCTCATTTATTTTGCTCCTGGAAAGTACCTGGCTAGTTATGGCCACACAGTGCAGTGACTTGGCATGTGTGTAGTAAATGAGGGGGATATCTTTGCTCGTGTGCTTGGCGTGTGGACAACTAATGAAGGTGGTAGCAAAGTGGAGCTGCTCTGCCACAGAACATGTGTACATACTTATACATAGTTTCATGCATTGCATGTAGCCTCCAAACCACTGCATACTGTGAGGAATTGCATGGAAATAGTTGTGCAAACATCTGTGTGAGTGAAGATGCAGTCATATAAATATTTATTGAGTATGCCTATAAAAACTTCTGAATACTCATTATCTCACTTTCTCTGCAAGTAAAGTTTATGATATGCGGCAAGATAAGTGAAGTCTCACAGGAATTTTTATTGCACCCCTACTGAAAGAAACCAGAATGGAGGTTTACCAACAAACATTATTTGAGCAAAGGAATGGCTGGAATCTGAAGCCTCATTTGTTCCACTTGAGGAGTTTTAGAGGTTTAAGGAAACAGTTTCAAAGCCTACAACTAATACCCTATTTTGAAGTCAACTGTAAATGAAGCATAGGGCAGAAGAGGGTGGAAGGAAAATACATGGTGTTGAGCAGGTCCAGCCATTTTGCAAATTTGTATTTGTTTCCTTGACATTTAGAAGAGTATACCTTTGATTGACAATCGTGTAGCAGAGTTGAGGTTAAATACCATTTAAATCTCACACTGTGAATGGACTGGGTAGCTTTTCCATCGAGAAATATGATGTGTTAACAGGTGCTATTCCCCAAGAAGCATAAAGGGGTGTATGGGCAATTACCACTTTCTGAAATGACATTTGAAAGTTAGAAACAAACTGAGATGACTGCCAAAAGATTGGACACCAGTTCTTGGTGTCACTTCATCTAACCAAAGCTGGAATGTGAGTCTTACATGGATTTGTGGTATATGCTGTTTTTGGTAGTCACTGTAGAAAAAAGCACATGACTTGTTTGCTAATGTCTCTTCAGTCTTTGATTCACCAAGTATTACCAAGAAGTCAGTGGTGTAGATGGCTGGCTTGGACCTTGAGATTCTTTATATTCTCTCTTTTTGATTAATGTACTTCTGTTTTCAGGTTCACGTAACGCTAGGGACCAAAGAAGCATATGTAATATTTCTCTGGTGCTGGGACCAACCTTCTGGAAGAAGACTCTAAAATAACTTTTTGCCTTCAAGTTCTTTGTCCTGGGACTGACTTGTCTTTGGAGAAGAGCTCAACAGAAAAGAATATTTTTAACGTTGGAGCCATTAAAAATAAACCTGTTCGAAGAACTTACTACCTGCAGACTTACAAAGGTCCTGCTTTTCATCCGTGTTCCCACTTCAGACTGTAAACAATGAGTGAATTCTGGTTGTGTTTCAACTGCTGTATTGCAGAACAGCCTCAGCCTGTAAGTATGAATATTGGCACTGCTTAGTTTTTATATAATTAAGTAAATTTTTCACATTTTTTAGTTTTCTTGCTAGTTTATTTTTTTGTAAATTATAGCTGTTTAGCCAAGCTTGGTGAGAATTAAGCAATTAACTGATATCAACTTTGATGGGGATCAAAAGAGGTCTGTTCTAAAGTGCTGTCACTTTCATGTCCTTGAGATCAAATCTATCCAAAGTCTTTGCAAAGAGCCTATATTTCTTGGAATAGAAAAGGAGGGGAAGGGAAAAGGGTGATGAGGATGTAAACTGTCATTCTAGAGTAAATAACTTTTTAGTGGAAATGTGTAAATATCCTCACCTCTCTATGACTTAAGGCCTGCCTTTGGGTTTGGCTAGACAATGATGGTAGAAGGAAATGATTACATTAAAAAGTCCAAAGTGAAATCCAGTCCTCCACCACCTTAATTTAAATGAGGATTTCATCTTTAACTGTTCAGTTAGTTTTTAGATTAAATCGTAGAAGAGTGAAGGATTGCACTCATATTATAAATCTTTTGATTTTTAATAGAATTTAAAATGGCTGTTGTGTGAAAAAGTACATAACAAATAGATAGATAAAAGAAAATTTCAAAGTATATGCTAGGAAAACTGAAAATACAGAAATATTCCTTGTTTTAATTTATTTTTAAGTACCTTTAGAGCATGTTTCTGAGTCCGGTGCTGTTGGAAGAAATTCTGCCTGCATGAAGATGGAACTAACTAGGAATGTGGTTAGGACTGTGAGAAGGATCATTGTATGGTGTGACATCCAGATCAAGCTAAATGAATATATAGAAATGACAGTGGCCATACAGTAGTTTTACAAATATTAAAAAAAGAAACCAAAAAAACATTTACTACTGGTAGTATTACAGTAGCCAAGAGAAACTCAGAGTGAATAAAGAAACCTCACGTTACTGTGCTCAGCTGCTAATGTGTGGCTTTAGGGAAACCAAAGGACTGGAAAAAAAGTGCCTCACACTAGGCATTGTCGTTACACAAAGCCCGAATGCCAGAGTGATGGTATGCAAATGCTAGAGTGTGACCATTAACATTTTGAACTAATGAGTGCAACTTTATGTCAATCTTAGTCAAGCAGTGTTGTGGGAGATGAACTCTGAGATACCAGCATGGGAATCTGTGATCGGCCTCTCCTGCTTGAATGCCATGCAATCCTTTAAAATGCTAGCTGTGCCCATATAGAGCAAAAGTTATTTGTCTCGGTTTTTGAACATGTATTTGAATAAGATGTGACAGTTCAAAATATTTCAGATAGAAAAATGGCATATTCTGGGGTTTTTTTGAGAATCCCAAGGCTGAGTCCTTACAAAATCTTGACTCAAGTTCTATGATCTGTTTAAGCTACTGCCCAGGAAATCCATGTATGTTAATACAGCAGTCTGTAGGTAATGCCTCATGAAGCAGGTGGAGATTATATGTGGAAAGCAGAGGAAAAGGAACCAGCCCACTATGTTTCTGCTGATGTGGTGTGCATTGGCTTGATAATTAAAACCATAATTGTGTTTAAGATACTAATCGTTTGTTGTTTAGCACTAACCTGATTTCTGAAATGTGCCTTTCAAATGTTGTAGGAGACTTGCTTGTTACAAAGTGCCAAAATTCTTCAGGATATGTCTCAGAAAAAAAACAGATGTGTGCCCTATTCCTGGCATGCTTGATGAAAGGCACTTAGTTGTCCTTTCCCTGCAGTTATTCATCTCATTTTGCTGTGTTGTATTGTACAGCCATTGTTCTGCCATGCTTGGTTGCACTAAGTGGAGTGTTTAATCAGACACTTAATGCCTCTGAGTAAGTATAGGAATGTTTTCCATTTCTGACAAATAGCAAAGCATGTACTGTAAGTCAGAGGCAAACTGATAAATGAGACAAGTGATAAGGAAGCAGTTTTCCCTGTCTCTGCATGTTTGAGAGACTTACATTCTGAAAAACATGCTAGTTTTTAGTCCCAAAATACTGTTACATATTTCCCCCTTGTATCATAAACTAAGTGAAACACACAAACTTGGATAAAAGTTACGTGTCTGTCCCCTGCTGTGCATTCACCTTGTCAGTTGAGTCCAGTTTCTAAGGAGAAAAGCCTAATCTGCCCAGTCTCATTCCTTTCATGTGTCTTCTTTCATCTTAATTCCTGCATCTCAGCATTTTCATGGCCTTCCTCAGTGTCCCAGCCATTTCACTTTCAGCCATTACATGTTGAGTGGCCTTCTTCTGTGGAAGGACTAATACGGTCTTGTAGCAATTCCAACAACCACTAGCCTCTCAAAACAGACCTTGAAAGCAGGAAGTTAATTTGCTACTCGTTCTGATGAATGCTTAAAACGTTCCTTCTGTTTTTAAGCTTGTATTTATTATAGAATATCATGAGTCAGAAGTGACCCAAAATGATCATGGAGTCCAACTCCTGGCCCTGTGCAGGACAGCCCCAAAATTCACTCTGTGTACTCAGGAGCGTTCTTCTTGAACTTCTTGAGCTCTGCCAGGCTGGTGCTGTGCCACTTCCCTGGGGAGCCTGTTCCAGTGCCCAACCACCCTCTGGTCAAGAATCTTCTCCTATATCCAGGCCACACTTTCCCTGACGCATCCTCTTGCATTCCTTGGGTTCAGCACTTTCCTTCAGAAAGGAGGATCAGCACAGCAGGAAAACGTTGTCTGCATCATCAGTTGTCTGTCCATCCTGTTCCAGGGCCTCATGCCCGTTGTGTAAGGGTGCCTGGGAAGGTGAGGCAGCCTGGGAGGGAACTTTCATGCCAGCACAAGCAGGAGTAACCTGCTTCCATTCTCCCCTGTGTCTCCTAGGTCCCCTCCTTCTGCCAGGGGCATTCTCTGAAATTATTTTTTTCTCTTTATCTTTGGAAGATGCTGATATCTGAGGCACCTTTAATGTCATGGATAGTGACATTAATGTTAAATAAATAATGTTAGCCCTCTTTGCTAGAGGGGGAAATAAAAAGGAAGTCTTAATATTTGCATATTTCTGTGGTATTTTTAGCATTCAGTGAGCTAAGTAGTTTCCTTCTCTCCTGAAATCAAGGATGCCAGAATTGTCTCTGCTTTCTGCTGGCAAAATTCTAGCATACTATATTTGAAATGGTCAAATACAGCATCTCTATTCTTTTCAGCTGTAGTGCATTTAACATGAGAACTGTACATGCACAAGTCCTTTCTGTCAGTTTTATGGAAGAACAATAAGAACAGATTACTTTATGAATTTCACTGCCTTTACTTTTCTAATAGCATACCCCAGAGCAGAACAGTAACAATGTTGCAGTTATATATTAGTGTTCTTTGAGGTTCCTTAAATCAAAGACAGTGTTCAATTAATACCATCATCTTTTAGTGAAATGTATCTTGGCACAGCTTTTAGTCTTTTGTCAATGCTAACTGGATGCACCCTGCTGCTGTGAAATAAAACAGCTGTTTTGGAAAGCAGTGTTCTACACTCACTCCTACATGTTACTTTGGTTGCTAAATATTTCACTTGGTGTATCCAAAGCGGCAGTACCCGCGTCACGGAAGGCACACTTTGGAAGCTGGGTCTCTAAGCTGCTCTGAAATAGAGTGATAAAATGAAGAAAGCAGGTATTCGAAGCAACAAAACTAATTAGGGATGCTGCTGAACAAAGCATGTTCCTCATGATGGCTTCTTAAGAGCCTGAGGTTCTTACATAGTAGAATCCAAACAGAAGCCAAAGGATAGTGTTCTTGTATCACCCTCTAATTTTTTTTTATTCAGAATATATTTCACCACAATGAACTTCAGACTACTAGTTGCTTTCATATCCGTTTTCATGATACCAAAGAGGAGATACTAATCTATTAATAGCTATGTCCCAAATTTTCTTGGTGGCTTAAGTAACCTGAATTCAGTTTCTTATGATCTGAACTTTGTTTTGGGAAAAGTAGCACTTTCTGTGATTGCACCAGTTCTCTTACACCTCCCACTGATACCCTTAATAGGTTCTGTAAGCTGATTTTACGTTTCCCAGTGCAGTAATTTTTCTCATGCTTCCTCTGTGCTATCATCTCCACTGCTATGTTTCACTAAACGCTGCCAAATTCCCACTGCCAGATGCATTGCTTGATAACAGAAGTTTGGAAAGCTTGCAGGTTTTCATAGAAAATGTCCATGGTTTCTTTCTTAGGCTAAGCTTGTTGCCTACACCAGGAATCTGTTATTTTCCTATACTGCTTTCTTCCTGGTCTGTCCATTTTTAACTTGCAAAGTTAATTTTTGGTCTGAGAAGCCTTTGGTCATGATCTGGTGCACTTCCACCTGATTTGGGCCAAAGCTCAGTACAGCTGAGTTTTCCAGTTTGTTTTGACCTTGCAGTAAAATTATGGCTCTGCTACAAAAGAATAAACTATGCTTTCTCACTTCTGGCTTCAGGCTTCCTTCCCTAGTTAATCTGTTGCTTGTCTCTTGTTTAGATGATTTCCATTTTGTGTTTTTTCAAGGGGCTGTTAGAGTTTCATGGCATGCTGTGCCATAAATGTTTAAAGTGGTTTGGAAAGTGAAGTTTTTTTAGTATAACTTCCGGTATATGAAAAAGGATCAGCAGGTAGGTATTTGGAGCCAGTCTTAAAAGAGAGGCAGGAAAAACCCTGCATATACTGCTGTGTAACTGAATGCTGGATGCTTCAGAAAATATAAATGATCTTAACCTTGGTTTACTTAAGGAAATTATCCACAGATGGATATTGTCAGCCCTAGCTTCCCTCCTGGAGAAGGAGTCATGGATACAGCTGAGGATACATCTAACAGTACATATGTTCCACTCTTAAAAAGGAGAATTAAGCATTCATTGTGCCTTACAACTGCAAAATAGATCTCTCCCCAGCGGGCACACCTTGTTGCTTGAAGAAGTACTGGGTCAGGTTCTGTGCTCAATACAACAGTTATGTGCAAGTGCAGCTTCTGGCTTAAAATATCCAAAACTCAGGCTCTCATTTTCATTAA